AAAGTGAATTTTTTAGATTGTATGTTACTAAAGAATGAATTAAAAAAAAAAAAATTTTTTTTTTTATTACAATAATTAAAGCTTGTCGCATAAACTTGTGATGAATTGTCTCATCAATTATTTCTGAATCATTGACAATGTGCGTAATTGTTTGGGAAGTATCCAAATTCATATCTATTTTTTTTCTTTAACTAGACAAGTACGTACCGAACTGTACGTATGTAACGCACGTCAGAAATTTTTGTGATTCACTTTTATATCAATCCAAATATGAATATTACACACTATATATGTAAATATATTTAATATATATTTATATCCATATATATATAGTATATATGTATAATATATATATAATTGTAATAAAAAAACGTTTTGTAATAAAACATTTATATCCAACCCATTGTTCTTCGCTACTGCAGTATAATAAATGCATTATTCTATTTAATTATATATTTTAAAACAATCCGAATTTTATTTTCTTTATAATATACTTGAATAAAGTTCAAACTTAAAAAAAATTTTTAAAGCTTTATATAACGCAAGGCTGACATTATGCATCTGCAGGTTGTGTTTCAAATTTAAGTATGCCTATACACCCCCGCTTTTCATCCTATAATCAAGTCAATTTATATTAGAGTGGGGGTGCATAAGTATATTCAAGTTAGTTTCAAGTTTTAAGTAGGTACATCGTCGCTTTGCATATGCGTATGATAAAAATTTTATATTGCTGTAGTTCCTCATGAAAATTCTCATGATAATGTCTTAAAATACTGTACAATAACTATTATAAAAAAAACTATTTATTTTCGTTAGCAAAAAGAAAAAGGAAAGAATATAGTAAGTATTCTACAAACAAGTGAATTACTGGTGTAAATTGTTCTTTGAATAGAATAAAAAAATTATTCGTTCGGTCAATTTGATGCAAATGCAGTAAAATGAAGGGTACTTTTGCTTTTCCCCAATTACAAAGAAAAAAAAAAAAAACTGTACAAAGAAAAATGACAATGTGTAGATCATCCTATGAATGGATTCTGCACTCATCCCATGGTATAAATTTAAAAACCTTATATAATCACAAAAAAAAATTAAAGTCTCAAATTTCCATCAATCCACCTCGAAACATCTTCACATCCATTGATATCTATATCACTAGTAGAATATCCACCCTTTCCATCCAATAATAGTACTTTATCGTGATATTTCAATAAATTTTTATTATGCGATACCGTTATGGTTGTGATCCCCAGGTCTTTACATGTTTCAAAAAATTTGTGATTCTATGTATGAATCTAGCGAGCTTGTTGATTCGTCCAAAGCTGTTGAAAAAAATTAATATTAAATATATTAAATATATAATAGTCAGCATATAACTTAAAAAGTAAATATAATAGTTAAATAATTACCAGCAAACACAGGTCTCCAGAAAAATAATCTAGCAAACGCTAATTTTTGCTGTTCACCCGGAGTCAATATCTTATCCCAATCTACACCATAATGTGCATCAAAGTTAAATATTAACTGCTCTAGATGCGTAAGGTTTACCATCGCTAGTACGGTACGTATTTCTTCATCGGTTGCTAAAAAATAAAGAAAGTATTTAATAAAAAAAATAATTAACAAAAATAGTGATAAAAAAAATTTATAATATACACCATATTTAGTCTTTT